CTATCTCTGATATGGAAATATATCGCTTTTCCTTCAGTGTTGCTGTGTCAGCATCCCTCCCTAACGGGACTGTGGGTCCATCTATCCAATAATAGAGGGGGAAAAATAGTGAAGGGAAATCAGCAAAACCGGGAAATGAACGTACTGGGTGTAGTAGAGTTCAATTTTCAAGAATACAAAGCAAATGGAAGCAGTTTGTATCCTTTCCACTTTTAACCATGCAATTCAAGAAGGATAAACATCACCATAAAGGCCAAGTGGAAATGGGCAATAGATGTTGCCCGTGCCACTGGATCCCATGAACCAATATTAAGAAATGTGGCTAAAACTTTGACACTTGTAGACACACACACGACAACATTGGCTGTCACAAGCAAACACACAAGCCAGCATGAAAGATGGCGGCATCTTCAACCTATTTGACTATGTTCGTGCCAGCAACAAAAATGGCGAGCAGAGCGACTTGCCAGGACTAAACATGGTGGGCAATCGCGCGGTCACTTTGAGCTGTCTGTTGCCAGTCTCAAATATGGCTGCGTCCGTAGGCGCCGTACGGTGGTCCGAGCAAGCCGGTTGTTTCTAAAACCAAAAAAGTAAAAGGAATCGGAGCGTGAGGGCGATCGTTGTCACTGGAGCCCACAGCGGGGAGATGATCCACGAGTTGCTGCTGGCATTGAGCGGGTATCCGGGCAGCATCTTCAGCTGGAACAAGCGCAGCGGCCTACAGGTGAGGGAGAGCCTCAAGCACCATGGTAACCGAGAGGCCTGGGCCCTTCTCACGATAGATAACCCGAGCAAAGGAAACAACGGAACCCAGTTTCTTTTATTCAGAGTGTGAGAGACAGGAATAAACTATTGCACATAGCAGTATCAAGGCGCAGAAAGTTGCCATTCTGCCCATTGAGCCTGCACGATTCATGGAGCTTATGCCAATCTACTGCTTTCCCCCATACCGTTATACATTATTTTTAACCTAGTAACCATCCACTGCCCTGATCATCATGTTACTGGTTTCTATGTTTCCAGGATTTCCGTCTGAACCACTTAGTCCATTGGGGTTTTTTACAACACAGCAAGAGACCTTTCTTTCCACCTGTCAGCAAACATCCATTTATTCTAATATAAAGCAAAAAACTACAAATGTTGCAGATCAAAAGCAAGGACAAATCAACTTCTGTTTTTGCTTATTTTCCATCTATTCTGATCCCATTTTCCAGCACTTGTGTTTTGAGTGCTCATCTAAATAGTTCTTATACACTTTGACAGTTCCTGCCTCAATCACACTTTAAGGCAGTGGCTTCCAAATATCCACCACCTTCTGGGTGAAAGAGACTTCCTTAAATCCTCTCTAAATCCCCTACCGCTTGCCTTAAATCTGTGCCACCCGGTAATTGAATCCTCGACTAAAGGAGAAGAGTTTCTTCCTAACTATGCCCCTCATAATTTTCTACACCTCAGTCAGGCCATACAGGCTGCCAGGACTCAAAAGGTAGGCTAAGCATATGTTTTCTGGGGATGACCAGCTCCCACATTCATCACTGGCTGAGGTGCTGTACCCCTAAGGCCCAGGCATACAATGCCCACCTACCAAGAAGGGTAAGAAAAACATTGAATATGCTGAATGAGACATACTGGTCCAGTGTGTCTTGTTTGCTTCAAAATGGAAGTCCAGCACATTCTCTTCCTAGCGTGACTGGTTTTTACTCACTTTTCCCTCTGGACAATTCACAAAACCATTCTCTGAGTGAATATCCTTGCTCTTAACAGCTGGGAGGGTTCATGATACTGGCTGCCTGATCCTGATTAAATGAATACTGGCCCTGTCAGTGACACCTACAGCTGTGCAGTGGGGTGGACTGCAGTTCAATGGAAGGATATCAGTCTCCTGTTTCAATAGTAGAATGCAGAGATCATAATGTAAGAAACAGGAGCTTGAGCAGACAATGTGGTCACTCAGTGTCTGACATTCGGTACAATCATGGCTTTTCTTTGGTGTCAACTCCACTTTTCTACCCACTCCCGTATTCCTTCACTTGAAGGACCAAAACTACACCTCTCACAGTCTGGAACACATTCACCAACGAAGCATTGATATACCTCCAGAGTAGAAAATTCCAACCCAGACAGAAAAACCAACTTTTACTGTTCTATCCTTCTGCAAAGGTTTGTGTCTGTGGCTGGTGCAGGTGTTCTGTTCCCCACAACTCCAGCACTGCAATGTTCCCACTGAAATTTGGGTTGAAGAGGAAATGGTCCTGGAGATAAGAGATAACAAGGTGTAGAGTTGGATGAACACAGCAGGCCGAGCAGGAAGGCTGATGTTTTGGGTCTAGACCCTCCTTCAGAAATGGGGGAGGGGAAGGGGGTTCTGAAATAAGTAGGGAGAGAGGGGGAGGCGGATAGAAGATGAATAGAGGGGAAGATAGGTGGAGAGGAGACAGACAGGTCAAAGAGGCGGGGATGGAGCCAGTAAAGGTGAGTTTAGATGGGGAGGTAGGGAGGAGATAGGTCAGTCCAGGGAGGACGGACAGGTCAAGGGGGCGGGATGAGGTTAGTAGGTAGGAGTTGGGGGTGGGGCTTGAGGTCAGAGGAGGGGATAGGTGCGAGGAAGGACAGGTTAGGGAGGCGGAGATGAGCTGGGCTGGTTTTGGGATGCGGTAGGGGGAGGGGAGATTTTGAAGCTTGTGAAATTCACATTGATACCATTGGGCAGCAGGGTTCCCAAGCGGAATATGAGTTGCTGTTCCTGCAACGTTTGGGTAGCACCGTTGTGGCACTGCAGGAGGCCCAGGATGGACATGTCGTCTGAGGAATGGGAGGGGGAGTTGAAATGGTTCGCGACTGGGAGGTGCAGTTGTTTAGTGCGAACTGAGCGTAGGTGTTCTGCAAAGCGGTCCCCAAGCCTCCGCTTAGTTTCCCCAATGTAGAGGAGGCCACAACAGGAACAGCGGATGCAGTATACCACATTAGCAGATGTACAGGTGAACATCTGCTTGATGTGGAAAGTCTTCTTGGGGCCTGAGATGGGGGTGAGGGGGGAGGTGTAGGGGCAGGTGTAGCACTTCCTGCAGTTGCAGGGAAAAGTGCCGGGTGTGGTGGGGCTGGAGGGGAGTATGGAGCGGACAAGGGAGTCGTGGAGAGAGTGGTCCCTCCGGAAAGCAGATAAGGGTGGGGAGGGAAAAATGTCTTTGGTGGTGGGGTCAGTTTGCAGATGGCGGAAGTGTCGGAGGATGATGCGTTGGATCCGGAGGTTGGTGGGGTGGTACGTGAGGATGAGGGGATTCTGTTTTGGTTGTTATTGCGGGGAGGGGTTGTGAGGGATGAGTTGCGGGAAATGCGGGAGACACGGTCGAGGGCGTTCTCGACCACTGAGGGGGGGAAGTTGCGGTCCTTGAAAAACGAGGACATCTGAGATGTACAGGAGTGGAATGCCTCATCTTGGGAGCAGAGGTGGCGGAGGCGAAGGAATTGGGAATAGGGGATGGCATTTTTGCAGGAAGGTGGGTGGGAGGAGGTGTATTCTAGGTAGCTGTGGGAGTCGGTGGGCTTGAAATGGATATCGGTTTCTAGGTGGTTGCCAGAGATGGAGACAGAGAGGTCCAGGAAGGAGAGAGAGGTGTTAGAGATGGTCCAGGTGAACTTAAGGTTGGAGTGGAAGGTGTTGGTGAAGTGGATGAACTGTTCGAGCTCCTCGTGGGAGCACGAGGCGGCGCCGATACAGTCATCAATGTAACAGAGGAAGAGGTGGGGTTTAGGGCCAGTGTAGCTACGGAAGAGGGATTGTTCCACGTAACCTACAAAGGGGCAGGCATAGCTTGGGCCCATGCGGGTACCCATGGCCACCCCCTTTGTCTGTAGGAAGTGGGAGGAATTGAAAGAGAAGTTGTTGAGGGTGAGGACGAGTTCGGCTAAGCGGATGAGGGTATCAGTGGAGGGGGACTGTTCGGGCCTGCGGGACAGGAAGAAGCGGAGGGCCTTTAGGCCATCTATACGGGGAATGCAGGTGTATAGGGACTGTACGTCCATGGTAAAGATGAGGTGTTGGGGACCGGGGAATTGGAAGTTCTGGAGGAGGTGGAGGGCATCGGTGGTGTCACGGATGTAGGTAGGGAGTTCCTGGACCAAGGGGGAGAAAATGGAGTCGAGATAGGTGGAGATGAGTTCGGTGGAGCAGGAGCAGGCGGAGACAATGGGTTGACCAGGGCAATCAAGTTTGTGGATTTTGGGAAGGAGCACATCAACGAATACCGGTCACGTTTGGACATTGAGCAGTTTGTCCGCCTCCTCCGCCTCCGCGCTTACTTCTTCAAACACGAGCCTAACCCTTCCTCTCCTGACCCCTTCTCCGATCTCCAACACACCCCCTCCTCCTGGACACCACCCCAAGGCCTCCTACCCTCCCTCGACCTCTTCATCTCCAATTGCCGTCGAGACATCAATCGCCTCAACCTCTCCACCCCTCTCACCCACTGCAACCTCTCCCCAGCAGAACGTGCAGCCCTCCGCTCCAATCCCAACCTCACCATAAAACCCGCGGACAAGGGAGGCGCAGTTGTAGTATGGCACACTGACCTCTACATCGCCGAGGCCAGACGCCAGCTCTCCGACACCTCCTCCTACCACCCCCTTGATCATGACCCCACCCCCGACCACCAAACCACCATCTCCCAAACCATCCACAACCTCATCACCTCAGGTGACCTCCCACCCACAGCCTCCAACCTCATCGTTCCCCAATCCCGCACCGCCCGCTTCTATCTCCTCCATGACACCACCGATGCCCTCCACCTCCTCCAGAACTTCCAATTCCCTGGTCCCCAACACCTCATCTTTACCATGGACATCCAGTCCCTATACACCTGCATTCCCCGTACAGATGGCCTAAAGGCCCTCCGCTTCTTCCTGTCCCGCAGGCCCGAACAATCCCCCTCCACTGATACCCTCATCCCCTTAGCCGAACTCGTCCTCACCCTCAACAACTTCTCTTTCAATTCCTCCCACTTCCTACAGACAAAGTGGGTGGCCATGGGTACCCGCATGGGCCCAAGCTATGCCTGCCTGTTTGTAGGTTACGTGGAACAATCCCTCTTCCGTAGCTACACTGGCCCTAAACCCCACCTCTTCCTCTGTTACATTGATGACTGTATCGGCACCGCCTCGTGCTCCCATGAGGAGCTCAAACAGTTCATCCACTTCACCAACACCTTCCACCCCAATCTTAAGTTCACCTGGATCATCTCCAATACCTCTCTCCTTCCTGGACCTCTCTGTCTCCATGTCTGGCAACCACCTAGAAACCAATATCCATTTCAAGGCCACCGACTCCCACAACTACCTAGAATACACCTCCGCCCACACACCTTCCTGCAAAAATGCCATCCCCTATCCCCAATTCCTTCGCCTCCGCCGCATCTGCTCCCAGGATGAGGCATTCCACTCCCGTACATTTCAGATGTCCTCGTTTTTCAAGGACCGCAACTTCCCCCCCTCAGTGGTCGAGAACACCCTCGACCGTGTCTCCCGCATTTCCCGCAACTCATCCCTCACACCCTCTCCCCGCAATAACAACCAAAACAGAATCCCCCTTGTCCTCACGTACCATCCCACTAACCTCCGGATCCAACGCATCATCCTCCGACACTTCCGCCATCTGCAATCCGACCCCACCACCAAAGACATTTTTCCCTCCCCACCCTTATCTGCTTTCCGGAGGAACCACTCTCTCTGTGACTCCCTTGTCCGCTCCACACTCCCCTCCAGCCCCACCACACCACCACACCCAGCACTTTTCCCTGCAACCGCAGGAAGTGCTACACCTGCCCCTACACTTCCCCCCTCACCCCCATCCCAGGCCCCAAGAAGACTTTCCACATCAAGCAGATGTTCACCTATACATCTGCTAATTTGGTATACTGCATCCGCTGTTCCTGTTGTGGCCTCCTCTACATCGGGGAAACCAAGCGGAGGCTTGGGGACCGCTTTGCAGAACACCTATGCTCGGTTCGCACTAAACAACTGCACCTCCCAGTCGCGAACCATTTCAACTGCCCCCTCCCATTCCTCAGACGACATGTCCATCCTGGGCCTCCTGCAGTGCCACAACGATGCTACCCGAAGGTTGGAGGAACTCATATTCCGCTTGGGAACCCTGCAGCCCAATGGTATCAATGTGGATTTTACAAGCTTCAAAATCTCCCCTCCCCCGCCACATCCCAAAACCAGCCCAGCTCGTCCCCGCCTCCCTAACCTGTCCTTCCTCCCACCTATCCCCTCCTCCCAACTCAAGCCCCACCCCCATCTCCTACCTACTAACCTCATCCCGCCCCCTTGACCTGTCCGTCCTCCCTGGACTGACCTATCCCCTCCCTAACTCCCCACCTACACTCACCTTTACTGGCTCCATCCCCGCCTCTTTGACCTGTCTGTCTCCTCTCCACCTATCTTCTCCTCTATCCATCTTCTATCCGCCTCCCCCTCTCTCCCTATTTATTTCAGAACCCCCTTCCCCTCCCCCATTTCTGAAGGAGGGTCGAGACCCGAAACATCAGCCTTCCTGCTCCTCTGATGCTGCTTGGCCTGCTGTGTTCATCCAGCTCTACACCTTGTTATGTCAGATTCTCCAGCACCTGCAGTTCCTACTGTCTCTGGTCCTGGAAGTAAAATGTCTTAACAATAGGAGTGGGTGAAGGGGGATCATATTGTGGATGCTGGTAATGGACTAATTCATATTAACTGGAGTCTGAGCAGAGTGGCCTTGTGTGGTGTGAATGTGTCAGAACATAGAACAGTACAGCACAGTACAGGCCCTTTGGCCCACGATGTTGTGCCGAACTTTTACCCTAAACCTAAGGTCTATTTAACTTCCACCCCTACCTTATACTATCATCCATATGCCTATCTAATAGCCGCTTGAATGCCCCTAATGAGGCCGACTCCACTACCCTCTTTGGCAGTGCATTCCACGCATCTACCACTCTCTGTGTAAAGAACCTCCCTCTGACGTCTCCCCTATGTCTACCTCGACTCACTTTAAAACTATGCCCCCTCGTAATAGCTACCTCCACCCTAGGAAAAAATCTCTGGCTGTTCACTCTATCTATATCTCTGATCATTTTATACACCTATCTATACCTCTGATCATTTTGTACACCTCTATCAAGTCAGTTAGGCTGTTTACTTCTGGATATGTATAAATATATTTTAGAATGTATAATCACCCTATCAAAAAGACCCACCAGCATTTTCTCTCAGACAGCTGATAATAGGCAGTAAATGTCACTTTTGCCAGTGTTGCCATTTCCTGAGAATGAATTTAAGGGTTCTGGGTTCTGGGTTCACCTGACTCCTTTCTGCTTGAATAATATACCTTGGGTCTCAGAGGCATGAATTAAATACAGTTCTCAAGGTGTGACTTGACAGTACAATTTTGACTAGTCTAAGTGGTAATGTGCAACATTTAGCACAAGCATAAATATTTTACTTAATACCCACCGACAGCTTCTCACTCCCCCTTCTCTTTTATGACTGTCTTTAAAGCTAATGTCTTTGACCAAGCTTTTAGTAACCCGGCCTAACATATGCTTTGGTTTAATATTAGTTTTTGTATGATGACGCTCCTGTGAAATGAGCTGGGACATTTATTATGTTAAAAAGGTTACATTGACACAAGATGTTGTTAATTTAATCCCCACTATGACAAAAAAAAAGCCACAATAACTCGCTCAGTTGATGGTAGTCCCTGCAATAAGGTTAAGAGTTTGTGGCCTAGCTCTGTACTGTAGATAGACACAGATTTCCCTCTACCTTCACCGGGTGGCAAAGAATCTCTTAAGAAGGTTTACATAAATATGGGGCAAACTTACTCTGTTTTCTACCTGTCCCTTCAAATGGATTAAAAACAGACCTGTTCCTTTACTGCAATGAACCCACTCCATTTTCCTATTTATACTTTTTTGAGGCAATACTTTAGGCCAAGCTTAATAATGTTTATTACTATAGTAAATAATAATATTTATTTTTATATTGTTGTATCTCTATATTGTTCCATAATTTGGACAGCGTTGCAATGGTGTACTACACACTCGGGGGTCGTGTACTTCAGTTGATGTGCTAAATTGATTTTCTCTCTGTTTCTCTTTTGACCCTTTTTTTATTCTTCCATGGCTGTGGATGTCACTGATTGGGTCAGTATTCATTACCCATCCCTAATTGTCCTTGAACTGAATGGCCTACTAGGCATTTCAGAGAGCAGTTAAAAGTCAACTAAGTTTCTGCAGGTCTGAAATCCCATGTATGCCAGACCAGGTACAGACAGCAGATTTCCTTCCCTGAAGGACAGTATTAGGTTGTAATGGCAGTAGAATAGCACTAGGTTTCCGTGCTGTTTTCAGCCAGAGTACCAAATCTGTGCAAATATCCTCCCTAACTTTGTATTAGTTTACGGATGCATTAAATAAAACAATGAAGGATATGTGATACTTGGACATTTCTGGGACCCTAAAAAACCCATCTCTGACAGTTGGGCTATGACACCACATTGAGTTTTGATTGTAACTTCATCCTTTTAAAGCTTTGCTTGACGTGCAAGCTTTCTGAATGCCTTTCATTCTGATTTCAGAAAACCTATAACACTAACTTGGTGTGAAGTAACGTGTTAAGTAGAATGCGAATTTTCTGTGGTTAAAGGCAAGTTCAGTACTGATGTCACATAAAGAGTGAACAATGCTTGAACTGTTCCTTCATTTTTTGAGGATGGGGCAATATTTGAGAGATCAGCCATGGTCTTGTTAAACATCAGAGCAGGCTTAAAGGACTGCATTGTTTAAATTCTGATCCAATTTGTTATATTCTTACATAAGATAGAAGAGGAAAAACTCCAGATTCATTAAAGAGGCAGTTAGACACTGTGTTGGGGGCGCCATGAACTTGCGTAAAAAGTCAGTTTAAATGAAGTAAATCTGCACTGATTAGTATAAACTCAACAACTCAAGCATTTATGTTCTTAATGCATCATTCAAAGCTCATAGTTTTGATTTCCATGTTGTATAATCTTGTAGCTTGAGTTATATACATTATTGGCTATGAGAGGAGAGTAATTTAAATAATCGCTTTCTTAATGTGAGGCAGCTTGAGGAGTGATTTTTGTCAGTCAAACTAGTTATTGTATGTTTTAGGGATGGGCGATTGCAGCCTGCAGTGCCTACATCCCATATGCATGTACATTTATTCAAACAAATCAACATTGTTTCCATTTGTACCTAGGTATCTCAGGATCTGCCATTCCTACACCCCAGTGAAATCAGTGTCTTAAACCGTTTGTGCAAGTTAGGCACGGACTATATACGCTTCACTGAGTTTATTGAACAATACACTGGACATGTACAGCAGCAGGTAGGTTCTCTACTGAGAAGGTTTCCTCTTCCTTTCCTGACTGGCATGATGCCATTTGCTTTTTGGTACTTTGCCTGACTGAGCATTTTCTTTTATGAAGGTGTCTGGATAGTGGATGTCAGCGGAAGAGGCAGAAATTGGAAGGCATCAAAATCAATCTCACTCCATTTCATCCTGACTCTAAGTGTGATCAATTCCAACAGGAATTGTAATAGCTCCAGAGCAGGGCCTTCATTACAGTTTCCCCTTCCTAAACAAGAATGTGCTGAGCCAGATTGAAGGGACAGACCTAGGTATCAAATAACGTTGGCTAACTAAGACTGCCTGTTTTGATTGAACTGGGTCATTTTTAATACATTCATGGGATGTAGGCATCGCTGACTGGATCAGCATTTATTGCTTATCCCTAGTTGCCCTTGGGAAGGTGATGGGGAACTTGAATTGCTGTGGTTCATTTGGTGTAGTTAAACCCACAATGCCTTTAGGGAGAGAGTTCCAGCAAAACTAAAGGAATGGCCATATAGTTCCAAATCAGGATAGTGAGAGGCTTGGAGGGGAACTGCAGGTGTTCCCATGTATCTGCTGCCTTTGTACTTCTGGAAGCTTCTTGAGTTATGTTGGATCTGTGCCCATCCAGGCAAGTATTCCATCACAGTAGTTGCTTGTGCCTTGCAGATGGTGTACACACTTTGGGGAGTTGAGTGGTGAGTTACTCATTCCAAGATTCTTGGCCCCTGACCTGTGCTTGTAGCCACAGTGCTTATATGGCTAGTCCAGTTCAGTTTCTGATTAATGATAGCTTCTAGGATGTTGATTGTGGGTCTCCATGATCGAAATTAAATGTCAGGAGGAGATGGTTAGATTCTCTCTTGTTGGAAATGGCTATTCCCTGGCACTTGTGTGGCGCAATGTTAGTTGTCACTTGTCAGCTGAGCCTTGATATTGTCCAGGTCTTGAAGCGTTTGGACGTGGACTGCTTCCGTATCTGAGGAGTTGTGAATCGTGCTGACATTGTACAATCATTAGTGAACATCTCCACTTCTGACCTCACGATGGAAGGAAGATCATCGATGAAGCAGCTGAAGATGGTTGGGCCTCGGATACCATCCTGAGGGTTCCCTGCTGTGATGTCCGGGAATTGACATGACTGACTTCCAACAACAGCACTATACTCCCTTTGTGCCAGGTTTTATTTCATTAGGGAGCTTTTCTGTCTGATTCCCATTAATTCCAGTTTCTTAAGGCTCCTTGATGCCACACACAGTCAAATGTGGCCTTGATGTCAAGGGCAGTCACTCTCACCTCACCTCTGGAGTTCATCTCTCATCCAGTGAGCAGATTATTGCTAAACAACTGCTGCTTGTTGTCACTGTTGATGATGACAACATTCCATCACGTTACTGATGATTGAGAGCAGACGGCTGAGGTGGGAATGTCTTCCCTATGTTTGATCTGATGCCTTGAAATTTCATGGGGTTGGGGGTCAATGTTGAGGATTTCTGTGGCAACACCCTTCGTTATGATGGGTCTGTCCTGCCAATGGGACAGGACTTAACCAGGGATGCTAATGATGTTATCTGGGACATTGTGTTTGAGGTATGATTCTGTGAGGATGACTGTTGCTTTATTATCTGTCTAAGACAGCTCTCCTAATTTTAGCCCTGGCCCCCAGATGTAAGTAAGGAGGACTTTGTAGGCTTGACAGGACTGTGTTTGCTGTTTTTGTTTCCAGTACCTTGGTCTGTGTCACGTGGTCAATTGGGTTTCATCTTCTGATCTTGATAGTTGAATTATTCTGGCTGACTGAGACGTCAGGTCGACTGTCATGAAGTTTTCTCCACAGAATTGTCTTGAAATGCCAAGTAAAATTTAAGCAGAAGTTATGCACAAAAATAAACCATTCTGCCTATGCTTATGGCAGTTCTTTAACTGGAGATGTCTGTTCTAATCCCCTTTCCATAATATTTCTTTTCAAATATTTACATAATTTTCATTTAAACAGTGCAGTATCTGTCACTTTGGAGAACCATTTTGTGCTGAAATAAATCTCTGTGAAAGCATTTCTTTTAACTTCACCTTGCTATTCTCCTGCTGCAGCTCAGCCTGTTTCCATATTATTGATATAAATAATCCATCTCTACTTGTCCTCTGGAAAACCCTTCATAATGTTGATCCTCCTTTAACCTTTCCTCTTCCAGTGAATAAAGCCGCAATATTTCAAGTTGCGAATCCTAAATATAACAGGAATACATAGAGCACAGAGCAGAGAGAGAGAAGCCATATAACCCAAACACACTACTTATGTTGCACTCAAGCCCCTCAAACCCGACATCATTCTTCAATGTCCTTTTCTAATGAGTTTCCTACATGCACGGAGCTACGCACAGTAGTCAAATAACATAGTAACAAATACCTAAGATGGCGCTGTAAGTGGTACAGTAGTTACAATCTGGTTACAATTTCAACCTGACTTCCTTTCTTTAACCTTCAACTGGGAATGGACAATAAATACTAGCCCAACCAGCAACACCCACATCCCACAAATGAATTTAAAAAACCCGTGTGTCAAAAGCTGAGAAACGCCTTCACCTTTTCGTCCATGTTTTCATATTTATCTTCATTTTGTTTTCATTGTTTTTCATGTAGTCTTTCTGAACACAATAATAGAAGCAAAAATCTTGGTGCTATTCAGAATTCCATTAGATACAATGACAGGAGTATTATTATGAACATGGTAATAGTGACACGGGTTATTAAGAATTCTACATATTATAACAGGAGGGTTATTGTGGAAGCAATGAAATTCGTTGCAGGAATTGACTGCATGTCAAGAATTAAACAAAACTGTAAAAGGTAAATTATAGTTCTAACAGATTCAACTATTTCCAGTTATTTTATAACATCTTAACATTAAAGCATTATAGCTGACACATTGTAAAGTGAGGCATTTAACTAGCAGATAATAAATGCACCTCAGTAGGTTTCATAACAGTGTAATGGGTATAATCAACAGAAGTCTTTGTTTGGCTTAATATAAAACATTTAGGCACAATATATAAGGGAGAATATGGATTTTCTTTTCCAGTTTTATACAAAATACGAAGAAGTTGGAACACAATAACAGGCCATTCATCCCAGCAGCTCTAAGTTGCCCTTTACCTTTGACAAGAGAAAGTGGTTACAGTCTCATTTACCCACTCTGTTCTTTTACCCTATTTTCTTCCTAATCTTGTACTGACTTCTGTCATGCAGTGAATCTTATGTTACAGGAGTGCCACCCGACCCAGCAAGGCCAGGCTGGATTGTATGGGATTTATCTTCGTGCCTTTTGTACTGGGTTAGACTCCATGCTGCAGCCCTACAGACAGGCTTTACTTGATCTTGAACAGGAGGTACCTATCTTCAACTTGTATGATAAATTGGTGAAATGCTAAACATGAAACATTTAAATAGTTTCACTATCATTTGAAGCAAAGCCGCATAGTTGTTAATATTTCAGTAAAATTGTCAGTTCTAGTTGAATATCTTATTCCGTCAAACTGTGTGAGGACGACCAGCGATGCAATTCTAGTTTCTTTGTTTCTGAAATCTAATGCCCACTCCACTCGTTCCGATGTTTCAGGTGGCTGAGACAGATCCCACAGTCCTAAAGGGACATCATAGAGATCTATTGCTGCCCTGGTCTAGACTGCTCCCTTGGCCAACATCACTCTGATGTACAAACATGTGAAAATGACAGGCAGACAAAGACCAGCTGTTATGGTGTGACTGCGAATCTCCAATTCCCCCAGTCACCAGAAATCTCCTGGGATTCAGGAACAAAAAGCTTGGGAAATTCCTCCCTGACCTGTTACTGAGATGAAAAAAAAAGCAAACTGTAGGACTGCACAGTGACCATTTGACACGTTGTTGAATGTCCTTTGGTACATTAAAGGCAATGCACTGGTCAGAAAGAAACAGCATGCATTTAGATAGTGTCTTCCCCAAGTTCACAGCCTCTTGACATTCCAAAACTCTTTCTAGCCAAATAAGTACTTTTCATGTGTACCCGGTTGTGGTTAGGAAGAACAGCAGCCAATTTTAAGTGCAGTAAACTCCCAGAAGCCGCAGAGCGATAAATAACCAAGTTTTCTGTTGAATTTTTAAAGGTTCTTTCATGGACTGTGAGCATCACATTGCTAGGCCAGCACTTGTTGCTCATCCCTACTTGCCCTTAATCTGAGTGGCTTGCCTGTCCATTTCAGGATGGCAATTAAGAATCAACCACAATGCTGTGGATCTGGAGTCACATGTAGGCCAGACCGGGTAACGACGACAAATTTCCTTCACTAGAGTACATTAGTGAACCAGATTGATTGTCACAAAAATACAATAATAGTTCCATGGCAACTAATAATGAGATTAGCCTAGTATTCTAGATTTTATTTATTGAATTTGAATTCTACCAGCTGCCATGGTGAGATTGAACCCATGTCCCCAGAGGCATTGCCGTTATGCCTCTGTCTCCCTGATTGAGTGCTGAAATTGACTATATGATAGTGTTCTTTTTTCCTGAAGAATTCTAATGTACATTTCAAGCTAATGTTGTTCTTGTATTTCTACTTTGCAGTTCTTGGCAGACGCCCACCTCTCCATCTCTCATGTTAACTATTCTTTGGATCAGGTAAGCTCCTGTTACAGCATTTTCAAGTTGAAATGTGTCTTAAAATATTGCGGCGTTACAATATTGAGGACAAATCAGTGAATCTCTTAACGGGACTGCTTATGGACAGATGACAATGGACTGTGCAGTCAGGATTTTAGAGCCAGGAATAGAAATAAGCCATTCAGTTCCTCTATCCTGATGATAAGTGGAATTCTCAAGGATAACATGGAAGACTTTAAAGTAATGCAGTTATGATTAGGATATGCAAGTATAGAGTTACTCATTATATTTTCTGAATTGTACTGTTACTCCCTCACACGTTTCATCTTTTTTTGAGTGTAATCCGGAATTGTGGCACTCTACTACAAAGAATTCAGCTGAGACTGTCTTAAACCTTATCCGACAATTGATGATGCCGATAGAAGCTGTTAAATCCTGAAATACGCTGAGCCGAGATGCTCTGATACAATATTGACTTTTCCTCATTACCTAATGCTTTATTTCGTTGCCAGTTTCAGCTGCTGTTCCCATCTGTTATGGTGGTAGTCGAACAAATGAAATCTCAAAAGGTAAGTGTTAGTCTGAAAAGATCTACTTGTGATCCAAATTATTGCCCAGACATTTACTGTCCACACTATGGACAGTCTGCCCTTCTCTTCTAATACTTATTCAGTGGGATCCAAGTAACATGCTAACTTGATAATACTTTCTGATTTAACTCTTCTCTTTTCCACCTTTGGGGTGTATGGATGAGAAATACGTTAGGCATGGCTCAGTTGTACTGTGCTTCAGAGTCAGAAGGTTGAAAACCCTTGCTTTAGACTGAGACATGAAACAGAGTCCTTATCTACCCTGTCAGTTGAGCGTAAAAGAATTTGTGCACTGTATAAATTCCAGCAGTATAAATATTTAAGATTTATCAGACTTCAGGCAAAGAAGTAGGCGGTTACAGACATTCATCTTCAAAAATAATTACACACTTACCCTGCGATCTTAATGTGTTAATGGTTAGTAAATATGTTAAACCTATAGAGATATCAAAAAGAAATGATGTCTGTCCACCTTGTGTTCCAGGCTTGCTGAATGACTGTTTACACCATTTTGTATATCAACAAATTAATATTCAGTTCAAGGTCAAATATTCATTGCCTTTTTAATTAACCTGGATTCTGTGATGGGCTTCATGAACAATGTTGATAGTTGTAGCTATGCAGTTTCACTATTACCTTTCCTTTCTTATCTCTTTTATCTTATTTGTGTGGCTATAATAAATGGATTGTGCACTTCGTATCCTAAGCTCTTACATATGCTTTAGCTTTTAGGGAAATAGGCTCCGGTATTTGCTCTGTAAACACCTCATGTCTCTCTCTCTCTCTCTCTAGCTCTCTCTTTCTCCCTCTCTCTGGCCACCCCCTCACCACCGCACAACAATCATCTGACTGTCTGTCTCTCACTCGCTTCCTTAAAGCATTCCCTGACAAAGTCCTGAATGAATATCACCTTATGTGTCTCAGTGGTCAAGTTTTGTTTCGTACTGCCACAGTGAAGTTCCTTAGAGACCTTTTGCTGTGTTGGTGGTACTATATAAATGCAAGTTGTTGTCTTTTGGAAACCTAATTGAATTCTGTAGTCATTGGGATTTCAGGAAAGCCAGGGAAAGTGGGGTAAAAGATTCCTACTATGTCACCTTGAACTGTGAACTGTTCTTTCAGTGTCACTTTGCATCTGCTGGGAGTTTATTGAACTGTGTAACACTTGGAGCAAACGGCAACTATTATGGGCCTGTCATTAATGATGAGAGTAATTTGAATGATTAATTAAGAGTGTCATGCAAAAAACATCATTCACAGCATAAAACCACATTGACTGAAAACATGATACATTTTCCTATGGTGCATTGGCATTGATACATAAAATAAGCCTATTAATAGCATTCGGCATGGCTTCCTTCAACTAATCTGCGCAATAACAACTTGCATTTATATGGTACATTTCACACTCCAAGACATATCACAGGAGCATTATCAGGTAAAATTTAACGTCCAGCGCCATGAGATATTAGGACAGGTGACCAAAAGCTTGGTGAAAGAGATAAGTTATAAGCAACATCTTAAAGGAAGGAAGAGAGAGGGAGGGAGTTCCATAGCCTTGACAGCTACAAGAAGAAAACCCTATGACACCAGAAGCCATAATATAAAATACCTAATACAGCATGTAGCAAGTTGGTTTTACAGGAGTAGTCTCTTTCATACATTTGAAAATGTGACAATATCTTCCGTGGCATTGTAGCTTATTACAGCACTCAGCCATAAAGACCAGAAGGTCCCACGTTCATTGATTTGCAACACATACCATGTCAGTGTTTGCACTCTACACATTCTTCATCTTGCTCTCCTTCATCTCATTCTATCAGCGTATTCTTCTGTTCCTTTCTCCTGTCTCTATTCAAGTTCCTTAAAAGTATCTGTCATCTTTTCCTGATCTGGTCTATACTTGATTCCAGACCCACAGCAATGTGTTTGACTCTTAACTGCCTACTGAAATTAGTGCTCACTAGCCACTCAATTCAAAGGGCAATTAGTGATGGGCAATAAATGCTAGCCCAGCCAGTGACACTCACATCTCATAAACGAATTAAAAAAGAACTACTCAACTGAACTACTCCCTGCGGTAGAGAGCTCTACATTCTCACCACTTGTAGGTGAAGAGGATTTTCATGAATTTCCCGTTGAATTTGTTGGTGGCTATGTTATATTTATGAACTCTAGTTTTGGTCTTCCCCACAATTGGAAACATCTTCTCCATGTCTGCCTTTCTGAGCCCTGTCATGATCTGAAAGACCGCGTTTTGTTCACCCCTCACTCTTCCAATTTTTTTCCAGCCTGGTCTGGCTTTCCTTACAGTTGTAGCTTTTCAGTCCCTGGTCTGTATGAAATTAGCGGGTCTCAGTAAAAGCAGCATTAAACCATGTACAGTCAGCATCTGTGTAACTGGGTTAAAGATGGTAAAATGTAGTCAGAATACCTTTCTTGCTTGCTATGGAACCTTCATTTGAGAGTGCATAAACATGGTTGTTGAATGAGGACAGGATCCAGATTAATATGATGCTTTACCTTATCATGCTGATGCTCAATGTCTGTGCTGGTGCCTTGGGAAGCTGCTGGTGGTTGGTTAACCCTGTAAGAGCCAGGAGGAAGGTAGAATAGAATGATGTCTCTAGAAATTAAATGTAAGTTTTCTTAAGCTGTAAATAAATGGTTACTGGTGGAAAAGACAGGTTGTGTTTCACAATTTCTTTATTTTCCATCTTAGATTCATGGCTGTCAACTTCTGGAGACCGTTCACCAACACAGCTGTGGGGGGCTTCCACCAGTCCGCAGTGCACTGGAGAAGTAAGAGACCAGGCAGTTTATTCATACTCCATTCCACAGGACTTTTGTCTTTATTTAGGTTGAAGACATTAAGAAGACATTTATTAGTTTTATTGGTAAATTACTCATGGTTGTACTCATAAGACGTAGGAGCAGATATTGACCATTCAGCTCATTGAGTCTGATCCGTCATTCAATAAGCACATGGCTGATGTAATTATGGGGATAGGGTGGGGATGGGTCTGGGTGAGATGCACCCCAGACAATTTGGTGCAGACCTGGGGGCCGAATGGCCTCTATCTGCACTGTAGGGATTCTATGATTCCATGACCTGTCTGTATTTCTCTACAGATTCTTTCTGTCATCTCCATCATTGCCTTTCCAACTATTTTTGTGTCATCTGCCATCCTGGCTATAGCACATTCACTTTCCTCATCCAAATCATGAATATTTATTGTAAATAATTGTGACTCCTGCACTGATCCTTGTGGCACTCCGCTGGTTACAGGCTGCCATCCTGAAGATGCACACCCTACCCACCCCACACCCCCACCACCACCTCCCCCCCTACACACACACACACACACACACACACACACACACTTATCCCAACTCTCTGCTTTCTACTAATTAGCCAGTCTTCTATCCTAGCTAATATACAACCTCAATAACATGTGCTTTTATTAAGTAGCCTAATGTGTGCACCCTACCAAATGCCTTCTGAAGATCCATATATCTCAGATTCACTGCTTTCCCTTTCTCTAACCTGTTTGTTACTTCCTCAAAGAATTCTAATAAATTTATCAGGCATGATTTCCCCTTCGTGAAGCGATGCTGACTCTGCTCGAACATATTATGTATATAATAATGCTGTGCTATTGCATCTTCCATAAGAGATACCCAGTAGTGGACATTAAGCTAACTGGCCTATAATTACCTGTGTTTTGTCTCCTTCCCTTTTTAAATAAAGGTGATGTGTTGGCAGTTTCCCACTCCTCTGGGACTTTCCCAGATGGAGAGAGAAACTTCAGAAAGCTGGCATTAAGAACAACCAAGTGACCAGAGTCGGTAACTGCACTGTGGCACAGGAAATAGAATGGGAAATGTTGGCATAATAATAATTTGGAAATTATGGCCTGGAAATGGGACTACAAGACTATAACAGCAGGAAGCACATGCCCTACTCAACATATGCACCAAACACAGACAAATGGTTGTGCAATTAGTCCTGCTATTCTCATAGTTTTTTTAATATGGTTGGATCAATTAGTACAGATGTGGTCTGAATTTTATTTTCCGAAGTCTAACACTTCACAGTCAAATGAATGGGGATAGTCATAAATACCAGATTGTTGACAAAGCAACTCTTTGTGTAGTCCAGCATTGTTCCTAACATAACCCAGAGCCCACTTACAACCCAGCTACTCCTCCACCATCTGCTGCTCAGGATTCTTATAGACCTGGGTTCACTATGAGTTTGGCATCTCCTCTCTCCCCTGCTATTCAGTGAGAGAAATCAAAATATATGCTATGAGGCAAGGCTATTCAAGCATCCATAGTCCCAGTGCCATTAGAACTGTCAGCCCTGTAATATTCACACCTCAATTCTGTAGTCCACGTTGACGTACTCCCAGTACAAGATCTGAGCTCACTAAAAAGTCCAAATGCTTTTTTTTCTGAAAATTGTTCTTGAACAGCAAGCTACTTCACCCTTGCAATGGGAAATGGAATTCCTTTTTCATTATGGGGAGGACATTATGTGCCAAACTCAGCCTTTGATAATACTTTACAATTTAATTGTTGCCTCATTACACGCTATGAGTACTATCAACAATAATGGTAGGACAGGAAGGACCTTGTTGCAGTACTTGCTATGCACAGGTGGGGTTTTAAAATTCTATAACCTAATTACAGGTGAAGGTTCAAAGTGTAAGATGTCACAAGTGTTAAAATTCGTAGGAGCAAAGCTGAGAAGTAACAGCTAGGTGATGTTGAACTTGGATACTTAAAAGCATTGAAAAAAATGGGAACCTTGGTGATCAGCTTTTGAGAATTTAGGAAAAAATGAGTTTGAAACAAGGGCAAGAATGATACATTTCTAGACTTTAGGATGTAGTGGAACATTCTAAAGCTTATGAAGTACTTCTGAAGTGTAGTCACTGCAGTGGCATAGGAGATATTAGCACTTGCCTTGACTTTTGGTGGTTAAGAAAGCAGCATTGGAAATTTAGGGGGTGAACTGAAAGGAATAAAGGTCATAATATAATATCTAATAAAATAAAGACCTAAGAGTCGTTGGTAATAAATGCAAATATGTTAATAAGTTGCTGCCCTGTCCCAATGCAGGATCCTAGCAGTGTGTCATGGTGTGATGTACAAGCAGTTATCTGCATGGATGCTGCACGGCCTGTTACTGGACAAGTATGAGGAGTTCTTTATCAAGCAAGGGCCTTCCTCTGACAGTGTTAGCACCCAGCCTGAGGAGGAAGATGAAGAAGATCTGGGAATCAGAGGCTTGACTGGAAAGCAGCTCCGGGAGCTTCAAGACTTGGTAAGGAGCAGAAGCACCAAGAGTAAAAATGACTCCAATTTGTAAGGAAGTATCATGTATCCCTGTGAGGCTGTATGAGTGTATAAGATGACAAATAGTGATTGTACATTAGAGACGTCCATCCATTCATTCCCATCTGCATTCAATGCTACAGTAATGTGAAGACCATCGCTTCTTATCGTGTCTTGTGAACTGCTTAGTAGGAAAAGCAGAACAGAAAGGACAATGAAAAAGAATTGTTTTAAGCTTTGGGCAAAAGTTTTCCAGATCTGCCTGATGCATTTAGAAGGATTGATGGGCAAACTCAATTGGAGTCAAAAAAGGCAGGTTGAAGTTTTGCTATCAAGCTCTCAGCACCTTTTGGGGTGGTGAGGGTCAGGTGCGTCATGTGAGAGGCATCAATGTAGAGTCATACAGCTGTACAGCACAGAAACAGACCCTTCGGTCTGACTCGTCCGTGCCGACCAGATATCCTAAATCTCGTGCCATTTGCCAGCATTTGGCCCATATCGTTCGAAGCCCTTCCTATGCATATACCCATTCAGATGTCTTTTAAATCTTGTAATTGGACCAGCCTCTAACACTTCCTTTGGCAGCTCATTCCATACATGCACTACCCTCTGTGTGGAAAAGTTGTCCCCTGCATCCCTTTTAAATCTTTCCCCTCTCCCCTTAAACCTATGCCTGCTAGTTTTGGACTCTGCTACCCTGGGGAAAAGACCTTGGCTATTCACCCTATCCATGCCCCTCATGATTTTATAAACCTCTACAAGGTCACTCCTCAGCCTCCGACACTCCAGGGAAATCAGCCCCAGCTTACTCAGCCTCTACCAATAGCTCAAAGCCTCCAACCCTGGCAGCATCCTTATTAATCTTTTCTGAATCCTTTCAAGTTTCACAACATCCTTCCTATAACAGGAAACTAGAATTGAACGCCACATTCCAAAAGTGGCCTAACCAATGTCCTGTACAGCTGCAACATGACATCCCAATTCCTATACTCAATGCACTGACCAATAAAGGCAAACATACTAAATGCTTTCTTCACTATCTAGTTTACCTACGACTCCACTTCCAAGGAACTATGAACCTGCACTCCAAGGTCTCTTTGTTTAGCAACATACCCCAGGACCTTACTGTTAAGTGTGTAAGTCCTGCCTTGATTTGCCTTTCCAAAATGCAGCACCTCACATTTATTTAAATGAAACTCCATCTGCCATTCCTCGTAATGTGGCTCTGCTTTTAATCTGAACTCTGTAACATCTGCGGGGGTGTTAAGGCAAAATTAAGCAGTGTTCATGGATTGTAGGGAATGAAGAGTTGTCTGGATGCATTTTAATTACGGTGCCCATAAGGCACAGCAAGTATCACGGGTTCAGAGGAGCCTCCCGAGAATGGTCCCAGGAATGGAAAGCTTAACATATGCGGAATGTTTGAGGACTCTGGGACTATATTCATTGGAGTTTAGAAGGATGAGGGGGGATCTAATTGAAACTTTCAAAATACTGAATGGCCTGGACAAAGTGGATGTTGGGAAGATGCTTCCATTGGTAGCAGAGTCTAGGACCCGAGGGCACGGTCTTGGAGTAAAGGGAAGACCTTTTAGAATGGAGATAAGGAGAAACTTCTTCAGCCAGAGAGTGGTGAATCTGTGGAATTCACTGCCACAGAAGGCTGTGGAGGCCAGGTCATTGAGTACATTTAAGGCTGAGAAAGATAAGTTCTTGATTATCAAGGGGATCAAGGGTTACGGGAGAAAGCAGGAGAATGGGGTTGAGGAACTTATCAGCCATGATTGAATGGCAGAGCAACCTTGATGGGCCGAATGGCTTAATTTCTGCTCCTATGTCTTATGGTTTTATGGTCTTATAGAATTTGCTGTCTGTTACATTTGGTGTTTTACCTGCATATGTATATGTGATGAACTAAGAAGAACATAATTGCATAGAAAAATCTGCTCCACTACTGAGAAGAAGTCACTCACTGGGTGTAATTTTCGATTTTTTGAAACCAAGTAAAAGTCTAAAAGTTTAGTCCTGCCCACCTGCTCCAGTTAGGTCTGCTGATGATAGCCTGAATGGCTGCCTAGCTCAGGTGAGCTTGTTGATCAGATCAGACTTCACCCCTAATACTGTAATGGAACTGAATTGAATTAGCTTTATTGTCACTTGTGCTCAAATGAGTACTGTGAAAAGTTTATAAGTTGCCTCTTACAGTGATATCTTAGGTACAAAGCTACATAGGTAGATTCTTGGGTACAAATTCTTAGGAAAAAAAATAGAAAAATAAATAAAATCTCCAGCATTACAGATCTTCAAAAGTACAAAATCATTTGTCATAAATTAGAAAAATAAAGAAATCCAGGTTCAGAATAATAGTGCATCCATGATAATATATCAAAGAGAAATAAAGAAATTTTGAGAAAAGCAAATTTAAAACAGAGTCTACTTAGTCCAGTTCGTGGCTCAGATTTGATGTGATTGAGACTTCTGGTGAGCTGATCAACATGGAGAGTCTACACTCTAAAACACTGTAAGCTTCTGTACAAAGAAA